GATCTCAACTCACTTCAACCTCTGCTCCTGGGATAAAGCAATTCTTGTGCCTCAGCCTTGCTGGGATTGCAGGTGCCTGCCACCATACCTGGTTCGGGGTTTTGCAGTGTTGGCCAGGCTGGTCTCAAACTCCTGGTCTCAAGTCTCCCAAAGTGCTGGAATTACAGGCATGAGTCACCATGCCTAGCCTACTTAGAGCATTGTCTTAAAAGTTATAATTACATAAATATGGATTGACCGTCTTGAATGAATTTACTTTTATTCATTCAAGAATAAATAAAATTTATTTTTGACAAAATAATTCTCAGTTTGACAAGAAAGTTGAGGATCATTTTCCAACACAGTATATATAACACACCAATAAGAAGAGAGATTTCTTCACAAGAGTAAAGAGGTGAGTTTGTGGGCCGTCTTTATTCACTTTGAGACATTTCTTATGCATGTATCCTCAAGCTCTATGCTGGGAAATGGGGGCTCATAGAGAAAAACAGCATGTTTAAAATGTTTAATGACATAAAATGATACATTTACAAATTTAATCCTAAATAGTAACACTTGATTGATGAAGTGATTGTTTACCTAGAATTGAGTACTTTCTCCAGTGAACGTTTAAAGTAAGACAGCGTATTCAACTTTTAAAGAAAATATTCAAGACTTTTCTTGTATTTAATATTAAAGAAATATGTTTCAGAAGTACCTGAAAATATTTCTCTGCACAGGATTTAAAAATTATATACACAAAATTACCCTAAAAGATTCAGAACTGAGAAATTATGCTAAGAGTTCCATTTTAGGCTTATAACTGACTAATCAATAAAAAGCATTTATTTCATCAATGGTCTAAACTCAAATTTATCAAGAATATTTAATTTTATCTACAGTGCTTGGAAAATACTTTTTCTTAAAGCCAGTAGTCTTGTGGGGTGTTCAGCTTAAATTGTTTTGTGTAAATGAAAGCCAAACTTGCAACCTTTCCTTTCCCACTCCCTCAAGGAAAGGAAGAAATTGAAATCCATTATGTGAATGCAGCCATTTAAAAGGGCATGAAGTTTCAAGTTAACACAGGTAATCCTAACAATGCAGGGCTAGACCACAATTCAGATGTCATGCAGTCAATTTCTTTTACTTTTGGAAAGACTGTGCTTAATCCACACCAGAGAGGTAAAGAAACAATTCCCAAACCTTGAAGCAATGAAGATTTCATTAGCTCTACAATGTCTCATTTCTCAATTCTTTTTTTTTTTTTAATTATACTTCAAGGTCTGGGATACATGTGCAAAACTTGCTGGGTTGTTACATAGGTTTACATGTGCCATGGTGGTTTGCTGCACCCATCAACCTGTCATCTACAGTAGGTATTTCTCCTACTGCTATCCCTTCCTAGCCCCCTGACAGGCCCCAGTGTGTGATGTTCCCCTTCTTTTGCCATTATGTTCTCATTGTTCAACTCCCACCTATGAATGACAACATGCAGTGTTTGGTTTTCAGTTCCTGTGTTAGTTTGCTGAGAATGATGGTTCCCAGCTTCAGTCATGTCCTGCAAAGGACATGAACTCATTCTTTTTTTATGGCTGCATAGTATTCCATGGTGTATATGTCCCACATTTTCTTTATCTAGTCTAACATTGATGGGCATTTGGGTTGATTCCAATCTTTGCCATTGTGAATAGTGCTGCAATAAACATACCTGTGCATGTGTCTTTATAATAGAATGATTTATAATCCTTTGGGTGTATACCCAGTAATGGGAGTGCTGGGTCAAATGGTATTTCTAGTTCTAGATCCTTGAGGAATCCCACACTGTCTCCCACAATGGCTGAACTAATGCACACTCCCAGCAACAGTGTAAAAGTGTTCCTATTTCTCCACATCATCTCCAACATCTGTTGTTTCCTGACTTTTTAATGATCGCCATTCTAACCGACATGAGGTGGTATCTCATTGTGGTTTTGATTTGCATTTCTCTAATGACAAGTGATGATGAGCTTTTTTTCATATGTTCGTTGGCCACATAAATGTCTTCTTTTGAAAAGTGTCTGTTCATATCCTTCACCCACTTTTTGATGGGGTTGTTGGATCTTTTTCCTGTAAATTCATTTAAGTTCCTTGTGGATTCTGAATATTAGCCTTTTGTTAGATGGATAAACTGCAAAAATTTTCTCTCATTCTGTAGGTTGCCTATTCACTCTGATGATAGTTTCTTATGATGTACAGAAGCTCCTTAGTTTAATTAGGTCCCATTTGTCAATTTTGGCTTTTGTTGCCATTATTTTTGGTATTTTAGTCATGAAGTCTTTGCCCATGCCAATGTCTTGAATGTAATTGCTTAGGTTTTCTTCTAGGGTTTTCATGGTTTTAGGTTTCACATTTAAGTCTTTAATCCACCTCGAGTTAATTTTTGTATAAGTTATAAAAAAGGGATACAGTTTCAGCTTTCTGCATATGGCCAGCCAGTTTTCCCAACACCATTTATTAAACAGGAAATCTTTTCCCCATTGCTTTTTTTTTGGTCAGGTTTGTCAAAGATCAGATGGATGTAGATATGTGGTGTTATTTCTGAGGCCTCTGTTCCATTCCATTGTTCTATATGTCCACTTTCGTACAACACTATTTTGGTTAC